GTTGTCATCCATTTTGGCCCATCTGATCCAGATTATGATGGCGAAAATACAATAGAGCACAAAGAACGCGACAACAAAGTGTGCTAGCCGACCAAACCACCTTTTGCTTCGTAGAGACATTTCAACTTTGAGGAGTACGACTCATCGTTCCCACTTCCATCCATCATTACGGTATTCTTGTGTGAAATAAATTGATTTCAAAAATGCTTTTTCAGTGCGTTTTCTTTCCAGAATTGCCTTCGCACATTTGGTTCATATTTAGCTAATTCCTTGAAAAAAGTGTATTCATGTCGACTAGTCAGCAACATCATGGCTCTATAATGAACGCATTCATTGGTTCACTCGATAATGAACAATGTGAGCAAATTCGACTTGAGAGTGAAGAATTGTATTTTGCACAGCGGCTGAAACAGGCGCATGCAAAAGTAGTAGAAGCTTTGAGAGTGGCAATCCAAATCTACGGCAAAGCGTCGCTGCATCTTGTCCCCTTCTACCTTCTACTCATTGATATTTTACTTCGAGAGAAGCAATTAAAGCCGTCAGAAAAGATGCTTTCGCTGGTAAATTGGTTATTAATCAAGAATGGAGATACCTTGGTATCAACAGCTAAGTTCTCGGAAGAGACGACAAGACATTTTCAAATTCGCATGAATAAACTTTATAGTCTATTACATCTTGAGTATGAAGCTTTCTTGGAGGGACTGCAGTGTGCAGCTAATGGCACTTACCATTGCTCGCTATTATTTGGACCTGACCACGTTTATACATCAGAGCTGTACTTCTGTCTCGGAATCACCTTCCACCGCATGCAGCGTGGCACTTTGCTTAAAGAGTCTCGTCAAGATGGTCAGAAAAATAATGAATTACAACAGCAAATTCAGCAAAATGATAGATCGCTTGCCATGCTGGATAAAGTCGTGGACATCTGGCAGTGCTTTCTAACGAACCCACCGCAGAACTTAGCAGCTTGGAAGTTGGAACATCGACGTCTGCTTCAAGAAGCCAATTTGATGCTCCATCAAATCGTAAGCATGCGCGAAACTTTGCTCGGAGCAAAACATATTACTACTGGTCAGGTGCAGTATACATTGGGATTATTGTTGCTCCTTCTTCAAGATAAAGATCAAGCTAAAGTTTTTGTGAAACAAGCAGCGGACATTTACGTCACTGAGCTTGTAAGTGTCTACGTTATTGCAAAAAATAAATCGAATGATAAATTGTTGTTGATGTGCGAGCTTAGGGATCCGAGCATCCATCGACTGTAGAAGTCATTGGTGCCTTGCGCGAGCTAGATGAAATTGGATCATAGTTGTGGGCTTGTTGATGCATCTTTCGTACTATACGGCTATAAATTCTTTGTTCAAATGTGTTGTGCTCTAGCCTCGTTGTGCTTGTGATACGTGATGGTGCTCACTTTGCGTTCACTTGGCACTATGAGTGCAAACGGATCTGGACTTTCAAAATATAAATCTCCATACTTTTTCTGGATTTTTAACAATACAATAAAACATCAGAACTCTTCCATTTGAATCATCAAAAAGTTGCACCCAAACCTGATCTGCTGGACATCCGCAAAGCCAGATCCGCCAAGCGTGCAGCATCATGCGCGGTGCTTCATCTTCTTGTGAGCCGTAAGTGACATCACCTGCGATAGGGAATCCGTGATCTGCTAGATGAAGTCGCAATTGGTGACGTCGGCCATTCAGTGGTCGTAATAAAACCTTCGTCACAGGTTCGCCATTGTACATTGAGTGTCCCAGGACGAAGCAAATTGTTGTGGATTGTTTTGCCATGATGTCATTCTTGCTTCCCACCAGCATGCGAAACACACCCGTACTTTCGTGTGGCTCGAGGATTGGGGAATCAAATATATAAGCGACAGGCTCATGGCACCTCCCCCTATCATCACCATTAAGACTATCATACTTCCGCTCGTGAGCAAGTCGAATCTTTTCTTGACTCAAAAATTCACTAAATTCTCTAAGAAAGCGCTCTTTGTCAACTTTTGCTCTTTGCAAATACGTGTCTTTTTCCTCTTTAGTTAAGTCATGCCATGTCATCTTTGTAAAGGCTAATTCTGTCGGTGTTAATGCACGAGTTTGAGTTTTGATGAATGAATTTTCACGTATGTGATGATCACGCAAAAGCTGAGCCTGTTCCATTGCAAACAAATTTGGTCCGTGTCGTGCTCCACGCGGATATCCAGGCATTTTCTGGTGCTTTCTTGAGCCCCGTTGCTGATTCCTAAACCGCTCCAATTCTTCCATGTCTTTTATAAACATTTCTAGCTTAGAATACGTGCAAGACTTTGCAGGTGCGTTCGTATTACCAGTACATTTTGCTGGATCAAAGGGTAAATGACCACGAATCACAGCCAAATACTCTTTTTGCACCTGCTTTTCTCGAAAAAGACGACACCCAGTCGCTGTCGCTCTTCACAAGCCACTCAGTTCTTCTTTTATTTCAAATATCAAAACTCTTTACTCACTCTTTATTCACTCCAACGACCAAGACACCTGACGTTGCTACAGATAAATGCATTACCACATAGTATTATCATTCAAACTTTATCAATACCTCCTAAAATTAGCCCATACCAAAATCCAATTGGTGAATCCAGCGAAATTTATCCACGTGCGGAAAATCTCGGGTCAACTAGCAAAATATCGTCAAATACATCATCACAAGACAATTAATTCATGTTACCGAGCAGCTCACCGCTTTCTCTAGTGTCACGTCAAATGCGCCGTCTAATCGCTCGTCTGGGCCCTTATTCAACACCACAAAGTTCTTATTTTTGCTCAAAATATGAAGTTGCAGATCTTGAAGTTCACTTGGACCACCTCGCTGATCTCCATTACCTTCGAGTGAATCGAGCGTTTGGTCATGTGGCAAGTCACTTTGATGCCTTCGAACTTTGCTAATCATTCGTCTTCTATTTATTTGGTGAGCTTTGGTCGAGCTTCTGGTCAAAATTAGAAACGCTCTAATTCCTAGCAGCATGCATGGAATATGTGTGGCAAACGGCGATTTGAGTGTCGACCTTTGAGATGTGATATGCAACACATAAATTGGCCTGTATGAGATTTTGTTTGCACAGTAAAATACAATGCTTTATTGAGCACTTCCCCTGATTTTGTAGTCAACCCATAATCGCGATAATTGCCGTTTCTTACATGATTCTTACACAACTCAACGAAGCTGTACAGAAGCTTGATCAATTCTGGTCGGAGTCGACAATTACCAGCTGACAACTCTTTTAATGCAAGATTTGCCTACTGATCTAATTTCAAGACAATAAACAAGCTAATTATTATAGACTGAAATTTGTCATCTGAACCTCGTATTTTATTGGGTGACAATAAGCATCTGATACCAAAATTGATTAGAGATGTTGACATAGACGTTATAGCAATGCAATTTATATTTTGCGTCGACCAAGCTGAAGTTTTAAAAATTAAATAATAAACTCAGATGCTGATGGCAGTGACTAGAGCAAAATGACAACACGCTAGCCACATGCAAAATAAAGATGTAAATATATGGCATTAGCTTTGATAAACACACCGAAGAACTTAGCAGATTGGAAATCAAAACATTGTCGTCTGCCATAACTAAATTCCACCAAATTGTCAATATGCGCAAAACTTTGCGTGGAGCAAAACCCGTTGCTTCTGTTAGAGTGCGGTTATTGGGATTATTGTTGCATCTATTTAAGGTCAATTTTAAGAAAATTTCTGTGTAAAGCAACTGTAGACTTCTATCCCAAAAAGTATTTTGATCAAGCTTTTCGAAGCATCCAAATATCTATTGACTGTGGATGCCATCGGCGTCTAATCTTTTAACATTCATCTTTGATACTTTCTACACGATGCATGTTTAAATTCCAGCCGATACAGCATCGAGGTTCTCATTACATCGCTCACTTCGGCTACAACGTTTTTGCTTAAACCTCTCTGTCTTTGCAACAAAAAACCTGATTCGACGAAATTTAAAGGTGCTTTTGCATGCGCCTGTTTCAGCCGCTGTGCAAAATACAATTCTTCACTCTCAAGTCGAATTTGCTCACATTGTTCATTATCGAGTGAACCAATGAATGCGTTCATTATAGAGCCATGATGTTGCTGACTAGTCGACATGAATACACTTTTTTCAAGGAATTAGCTAAATATGAACCAAATGTGCGAAGGCAATTCTGGAAAGAAAACGCACTGAAAAAGCATTTTTGAAATCAATTTATTTCACACAAGAATACCGTAATGATGGATGGAAGTGGGAACGATGAGTCGTACTCCTCAAAGTTGAAATGTCTCTACGAAGCAAAAGGTGGTTTGGTCGGCTAGCACACTTTGTTGTCGCGTTCTTTGTGCTCTATTGTATTTTCGCCATCATAATCTGGATCAGATGGGCCAAAATGGATGACAACATCGTTCTATTTCAGAATTTGGATCGACGCCTAGGCATTGAAGTTGAAAGCCTTAAATTTTCTGTCCAAAGGCAGGCATGGACAAAGCACGACTTCAAGTGTCTTGGGTGGGTGGAGACTAACGACAGCGGAGATGAGCTAGGAACGAGAAGAGAATGCTGGCAACGAATTCAAGCAGGTGATGCTGGGTATTGCCTCGTGATGAATGCTACTTCAGGTCACGTATACCAAATTATGCAGACGACGAGTCTTTCCCTCAAAGACGACACTCGATTTACCTGTGAGTTGGCAAATGCTTTCTCTTCGTTTCGATTCCATGCGAAGACCTATCGTCACGATCCACCGATGGCTCTTGACTTTTTCAGTCCGGACGGAATCGTTATGGCGGTGTACGAAGGCGTACTCCCCAGTGCATTTGCAAGTATTCATCGTCTACGTGATGTTGGGTGTATCCTTCCAATCGAAATATGGTTTCGTCACGAAGAACTACATCTGGAGAACCCAGTGTTATTGCTATTGATCAAAACGTATGGACCCATATACGTAAGACAAATCTTCGACGAGCGCATCTATGGCTTCAACGTAAAAGTACACGCTCTGTATTATTCTCACTTCACTCGCGTTTTGCTGCTGGACGCCGATAATTTTGCTTTGCGAGATCCCACCCCATTATTTGCCTCCGAAGCGATGAAGAAATATGGAGCCATCTTTTGGCCTGACTTTTGGCACCCTGGAAATTCAATTTTTAATCTGCATGCTCAGAGCTTAGTATGGGAGCTTTTGGACATCGAGTACGTGGATATGTTGGAACAGGAAAGTGGTCAATTGTTGGTGGATCGAGCTAGAAGCAGACCAATGCTTGATCAGCTCATGTTCTACGCGACACATAAGCCCAATTTATTCACGAAATTAAAACTTGTGTGGGGAGATAAAGACCTCTTTCGCTTGTCGTGGCTTCAGTTGCGAAAACCATTTCACTATAATGACCGCCGCATGCCTGGAACTCTGGGTGTCGTGAATATCGATCGTCAACGCTATTGCGGAGTCACAATGGTGCAGTATGATCTAAGTGGTGAAAACATGCTTTTTTGGCATCGAAATACGATCAAAATCAGTGGTCGGCAGGTGTGGCACATGCTACAAGAACTTCCGCTTCATGCAAAAGATAGAAATCTGCTTCCAAGAATTCAGTCTTTCAACGGTGGAAAAGTATTTAGTGAGACATCAGGCTTCGGATTAATGCGCTATGAGATGAATGCGCTGGTACATACGAAACGAGTGAATGAATTGAGCATTAATTATGCCTCGCTGGAGAAAACGCTAATTACTTACGCACAACAGGCTTATACGCTTCTTCACGATCAAATTTCCGATGTGTTCTTACATAACACGTAGAATTCGATGGCTCGGTGAGCAATGACTTCTCGAATGTTTTCTGGATAACTCAAGTTGAGAAACGGCTCCATGGGTGGAGAAAGGTGCTTTCTTTGTCGCATGCTGTATTTGATGATGCATTCTGCTGCCTTCTCTTCAAACAGAGTCGATTGCTCGCCGTATTCTTCTGCTTGGGTTGCCACATGATTGTAGACGTACGATTGCATGTAGCTCATCTCCTTTAGTAGCCTTAAGTGGTGTAACATCTTAGCACCTGCGTTCAGCATTTCAGTGATTTTCAGAGCTGCGAAAAGTGGTTTCTCTCGTTCCGTCTTTTCTGTTCTTAGTCAGTCTACAGTTTTTGCAAACACATATGTATTAGCAAGAAGCTGAGATCCATCAAGCCTTAGGGCTAGACAGGCAGATCACATTACGAAACGATAAACATTGTAAGAGTCGATTCTTTTCAACAGCTTGCTTCTAGCAAAGGTATCGAATGTTGCCTAGCTGGATAGATATAAAACCTTTTTATATAGTACAGTAAGCAAACATGAGGTGTTAATGCTTGGGAACGACTCGAACTTGTAATTATCAGTACTTGATGATTGAGGTATTTAAACGCCATACTCATTGCACGTTTCGAATACTAAAGAAATTAATTCGTAAGGATTTAACATTGTCCACAGACCCTGCCTTCAATAAGTTGGAAAGGCTGCAAGATACGTGAGAAATCGTGTATTAGTGGAATTAAACAAGTATTTATTGCCTTGGATTGATCGCGTTTGAGCGACTGCTGCAAGTTTTGATAGTTTCTACAAACGCTTCGACGAGAAAGTAAAATCTTCCAGCAAACCTTCGTATCATATTTGACTCAGAAATCCCGGCAACGCAATATGACTGAATGTTTCGGCAATTTCAGCGATGTTACAGCGATACGTTTCAGACAACTTTATCAGCGTAAAAAATATGTAAATTTTTGGTTAAGGCTGCATGATTTGCAATCTCTTTATCTAAGAAGAAAAGGTAAAGTTCTCTCGATTAGCTCCACTCCTATGTCTCTCATCTTCCTTAATTGATAGCCTCAGAACATCTATCCCAGGCATTTGCAGTGCCATCAACGTCCGTCTGACATCGTTGACTTAACCCGCAGCTGAGGTAACTGTCTTTTGATTGCGTATTTTAGCATCCAGGGCGATCGTAATCAATGGTAATTTTAACATCAAAACCTCACCTGTTTAAGCTAGTTTCTTGCACTCGCTTGATATCCATTCTTAAGTGTAAAGCCTATTTTTATTACCTTCGTAGAAAGTAATCGTATGGCCATCGCTGTATAAGAGGAAGCATCGTCAGTCATTGCCCTATACCACAGGCTAGTAGTCCAAATCTGATATTTTTATTGTCTGGTTCATACAGATTGTGTTACTTAATTCCTCGAATGACTCTGCAACCTGCAAATACAACGTTGACCGTTTTCATACGTGCAATCGGGGGATCGCGCGCGCATACATAACATCAAATCCGTTATATATGTACTCGTTTCACTTTGTATTAGATGAAAGACATCTAGTTATTCGATCACGATGACAGTTTAGCGTTAGTATCTCGAGGTACTACATAGTAAGGGAAACAGCTTCCTCCGTATGTGACCTCAATCTTGCAGCATGCTGAGCTATTCTATATAGCTAAGGAATATGTGATACCATCATTAGGATCGTCTGGGAGTAAAAGCGGCATTGAGTGTACAGAGTGAATAAAAATTCTTATCTACATAATCAATCACCGGCTTTCGGGCTGGGGCAAGACTATATGTAAAAAGAATCCGCATATTTTGAAACACTTTTCTAGCTTTCCAATATTCTATCGATATCTCTATATCTAAACATTACAACATAAAGCATTATGAAAAAAAATTTTATGAAGCCGTACTAGACAGCCATTGCCAGCGTCTTAGTTCAAAATAAATATTAGCATGTTTACGAGCGTCAATCCGAATAAGTATGTTCGTAATGACTGACGACTGCATTTGACCAACAATTACCTTAGACCTGAATCTGACGCAAACTGTATATCTCGACAGATACCTCGACTGATGCAAGCAAAAGCGATGCAGCAACAGGACCGCTGTCAGATCAGCCAACTTGAAGCCTACTAATTGCAAACCGCATATAACACGATACACAACACGACGCTAGAAACTCGACTCGTCTAGATTTAGTCACGACCAACACTCTTTTACATAAAGCTAGACTGTAAGTTTGAGGACTGTGTGTTTATTGGCGTATCACTGCTGGCTTCAAAGACAACTTGAGATAGATTAATTTTTGTACTTACATTAGGGGCAATCACTACATCACGTTGTCGCAAAGGTATCGGGCTGAGCTTTAAACCTTATCCGTATTCCTAGTAATTAGTTTGTAGCTCATAATTTAGATTTATGTAGCCAAGCACACTCAAAGCATCTTCAACAATTATCTTGATACAATACATGTAGCAGATCAAACACCAATTCTTGCCTACTATATGGTTTCCTAGACTCGAGCCTGCTCATAAAGAAAGTCGATCCATGTCGCCCGAGACACGCCACAACTCTTCTAGAGTTTGAAATCCGTCCATCTTTAGATCGGACAACCGACCAACGTCCCCGATTTCGTTCAGAAAAACATCTAAACTTCCGCGACCAGCCAAATTCTCGCTACTTCCTGAGCTACGCAATCGTCGAGCTGCGGATGCTCGAGCTGCATCAATACTGAGTCTTGGTCTCACTTTTTTCATCCTCCGTCCATTTTCTCCGTCGTCCTCGTCGTCTGCCGTATCGTCATTAGATTTTGTAGATCCGGAATTACTGCTGCGTATTGGAGGTCTTTGGCCTGCTTGAAAACGCTGAGCAAAAGCTGCAGCAGGGTTGAAAGGCTTAACTGGACCAGCTTGAGCTAATTTACTAGAAGCACTGGACTGGTCCTTTGGCGTTTGGTGTTGCTGCATATGCAAAAATGCAGCGACTGGATTTCCATTAGAAGACGGTTTGGTGATTTGGCTACGAGCAAACATTGCAGCTGGATTATGCGTGACCGGATGATGAGAGGTCGCTTGCATTTGACCGCTTCGTGGCTCTTCCTTTGGTTGCACTCCGCCGATCGAGCTCAATTGTTTCACGTGGAGTTGTTGACGTGGCTCCTTCTCGCGGTCAGATTGATCATTTTCGTGACGATGCATTGAGCTTGAATGATCGTGATGCGGAAAGTGACGAGGAATGTGATGGGGAACAGGAACTGGTCGATCCGCATATTGGTGCGGTTGATGCTGTCGTTGGGCAAAGGTTGCAGCAGGATTGGAAACAGAGTTACTACTTGAACTCATTGTGTGGCTTGACGAGTTTTCGCGATCCATGGATTTCGATGACGAATTCATACCATATTCATATGACATCATTTGAGAGTGCGATGAATGAGACATTGGATGGTGTGAAGGTATTTGGGTATCATTGTACATTCCTCCTCCGACACGATAATTGTTCATTGATGCGTTTCCATACATTTGTCCATTGTTCATTCCTCCATTAGGAGCTGATGATCCCGAAGCGTACATGCTACCACTTACAGCAGATGGGTATGCTACAGATGGACTTTGATATTCTTGTCGATACCCGTCTTGAGTATGAGAAGGTAATGGGATGGCATTTGGCGGCATATTGGTCATGTTCGACCGATGGTCAACTGGATAGTCATGCGAGTGTCCTGGAGGTATTGAATGTTGACGTTCATAGACATGGTTTCCAACATGTGACTGCATTGCAGGCTTCCGGTAATGTACCATGGTCGGATCATATCCACCGCCACTCATATCACTATGATACATACTACCATTTCCATGTATTCCTCCTATTATAGAAGCGTGATGTGGCGTGGTAGCTGGCACCATATGCCCATTGGGAAGTCGAACCAGTGGTCCTGTATGTTGCTGTGAATGCACTGAAAAAGCTGCAACTTCTTCACTCTTAACCATGCCATTGTCAAAGCTAGAACCTTGTTGCATCATCTGACCTGAAATCATTCCTCCTTTGGAAGTCATCTTGCCTTTTTCGCTCTGTCCTCGGCGACCTTGCCTATATTTCCCATTTCACTAGAAAATCAGTATATAAAGACTTTTACCAATTTCAGAATGATGATAGCGCACCCTTTTCGTACGCGACAAAGTGACTTCCAGCGGATTTTAACGGCATCCTCTGTACGACCTGGCAGCATAGCGGCAATGGCCGACCAACGATTACCCAATCTGGACTGTGCATCGAGAATCATGCGGTCTTCATCGGGTGTATACTCGCCACGAATGATACTTGGATCCAAGTGGTTGTACCACCGCTCTCGACACTGCTTTGATGTGCGGCCAGGGATGCGTGTAGCCACTTGGCCCCAATTTTTACGACCCTCAGCTACGAGTTCCTTAAGCAAATCATCTTCTTCTGGTCGCCAATGACCCTTGACAAGTCCAGGAGCCAAAACCTTCGTCCATCTTTGTAAGCACTGCGTGTGGTTACGACCAGGCACTTCTTCAGCAATAGACTTCCAATTACGCTCACCATGGCGACCAACAGCATCGCGGAGCTTGTCGTCTTCTTCAGGTGTCCAGCGCTTGGGTACAGCTTTGTCTTTAATTTTCATAATCTATAGCAAATACTCAGTAAATTATATAGCATACTTATGACCTGGCCACTAGTACGCACATCATGCTGTTTCTGACGCGGCACGCCCTTGATCTCTGTAAACACACGCTTGCTTCCAGTCTGCGACTGAGTCATCGCGCTATTGCCCGCTGAAGTAGCTACTGTCATCTTGTTCGATTGGCCAATCTTAGTGGTGCCCATACTACTACTACTATTACTTTGGCCCTCAGTGAAAAGAAGCTTGCCAAAGTCTGAAATGGATGCACGACCGTCGCCCTCGACGGGAAAGCCCTCGACAAGCTCACCCATGAGCTTAGAAATGGACTCTCGACTGACGCTGATGCTCATGGCTGTTGGACCTGGATGGGGCCAAGAGAGCGAGAATTTATTAGCAAATGCGCACCAGAGAACGGGGGAGGATGTTATACTGTATGCTCTTACTTTGACACAAACAGTGCCCGACAATTGCTACAAATACCGGTATGTGGGTCTGACGCGTGGTGTTGTTCGCTCCTTTCCACACCATATGATGACCTGACTTTGTACAATCTTACTCTGGCTTTCATACTTGTTATACCACGTACCGTATTCCTATTGCCTTAACATTAGTGGGTAAAACTGAGATGACTCGTGGTTTCAACATTTGCATTCAAAAGTTTGTACCTTTTCCAAAACTAGAATGCCATTTTTTTATCTTTCAAATTATGTATGCGGTTCCAGCATTTTTGAGGACGGATAAGCGTGGGATATTGTGACTCAAGATAAAGAGACTTGTCGGAGATTGATTTGCTTCTACCTCTCGCCAGTCTGAATGTACAAATGAATCTCTTACATGGCGCTTCTGACAAGGGATTTTTAATGAACTTGTGACAAAATAGTTAATGTAAAAATCTTTACTTGAATCAAATTTCAAATTTCATACTAAAATTGTTTACCGAATGTTGCACCCGTATTGTAACGGCGGCGATCTTTCACTTACGCACCAAGAGCCACGGGCGTCCCTCATTCTCCGTCTTAATTAGAAATAAACTTGCTTCTTGTATCCATCATGTCCTCTGCATATGCCTCACGCAGCGCAAAGGCGAAGAACGCTGCGAAGAACAAAAAGTTTGAACTGACTGAAGAGCAAAAGCAGGAGATTCGTGAGGCTTTTGACCTGTTTGATACGGACGGCAGCGGTACCATCGATGCCAAGGAGCTCAAGGTGGCCATGCGTGCATTAGGATTTGAACCTAAAAAGGAAGAGATTAAAAAGATGATTTCGGACATTGATAAAGATGGCAGCGGCACTATCGACTTTACAGAGTTTCTAGAGATGATGACGTCTAAGATGAGTGAAAAGGATTCGCGCGAGGAGATTCTCAAGGCTTTTCGACTATTTGACGACGATGAGACGGGGAAAATTTCCTTTCGCAATTTGAAACGCGTTGCTAAGGAACTTGGTGAGAACATGACAGACGAGGAGCTACAAGAAATGATTGATGAAGCCGATAGAGATGGCGATGGTGAAATTAATGAAGACGAATTTCTGCGCATAATGAAAAAGACCAGTTTGTATTAAGGTTGGTCTTGCGGATTGTTACCATCCCATTCGCAACAAGCAAAGTACATATTAGCTATTGATAAAAACATATCGTCTCAATCTTATCATCTAATTGTCTTTATATTGATTGCCTCTGGTTATGTACTGCTATTCCTCGTCCGAAGAAAAGTGAAAGTCACCTACTTCGTCGGCAGCATCCACTGCTGCCACCGACTTCTTAAACTCATTTAGTGACATCGTTTTCACCTTGGCCACTGTCTCGTCACTCACAGACGTGCCTGAGTTTGTAAGGTGCTTTTTCTTCTTCTTCTTCTTTTTCGTGCCATCCTCGTTCGATTCTGAGCGATGATTACTTGTTGCTGCTTCGACTGAAGCGTCTAGCTTCTTTTGCAAGTCAGAAGCATCGTTTTCAAATATTTTCTTAACCGCTGCTTCGCGCTCGCCACGCAAGAAATCGTCCAGCTGAGCCGTGTCTTTCGGGCACAGATCCAGTCCACTGCGCTTTGAACGAATCCAAGCGATACGTTTCTGTATATTGTCGCTTAGGCCACACGCCTGTGCCTTCCATTTAGGTACAGCACATGAGTGCAGAAACTTGTTCAGCGTGAGCTGCAGCGGAACAGCAAACTCTGGGAAAGCAACATTAAATTTGTATACATCACACTCACGCTGAAGCAACTCGAATAGCCGCACAATGATCTGATCATGAACCCGTTTGGCGTCTAGCGCCGTCTTTGATAGCTTCACACTCAGCTCTAGGTCTATTTCACTAGTACTAGTACCCTTTGTACCCTTTTTCCAAGTGCTCGACTTGTACGACGAGCGAAATGGCTCCAGTTGCAATACTTCAAGTAAAGCTGGACTCGTGGGAATAAACGAGTTCGTAGCAAGTGCGAGCTGCTGCAAAAGCTTGATACAGTGAAAACGCAACGGGGTGAAACGCAGTGTGCTCGATAGTCGTACAACAGCAAGAAGGAGTTGACTCAATGGGTACACGAGTGCACGAAGCTGATTCTCCGCCGGGTATGCACACACTACGGCAGTCCACACACGCAGCTGGTTAAAGAACTGCCAGTTAAGAACAGCTTTGAAGGAATCAGGACCTGGAGATGTGATTGTTTTGCGGACAGCAATTGCTAGTTGGCGAATATAAATGAAGGCATGTTGGTACGAGCTGCTGAGATCCAAGCCAAAGAGCTCAACGACACAATTTCCCATGAGAATGTGATGAGGAAGTGTCACTTCGTTTGTAAACTTGGTGTTGCGCATGTACGTCACATAAATTCCTTTGAGACACAGTTCCAAGAATGGAAATGGCACGGCGAGAGCCATGTCACGAATGCGAACGAATGTTAGCATGCACACGTCAGCGTTTAATGATTTTGACCAAAGCTTTAGTAGCACCTTCAACAAACGACGCGAAGTCTTCGGACATGGTACGAGGAACGGGATATAGTGAGCTAGTTCACGTAGGATAAACAGCTGAATATCGTGACCAGTGGTTTGCTCAAGCAAATAGCATGTACAGCTAAAGAACCGGCGGATTACCAACGAGTATTTCTTCCACTTCTTGTCATCAATCTTGGATTTCGAGTCTACTTCACCAGTTGAAGGGACAAGCGCTAATAAAGTGGCGAACGTCTCGTGTGTCTTGCGAAAAACATTAACCATCAAGCGATTGTACACGACACTACTTTGCACGTCGAACGTGATCTCATCATCTTTGTTTGAGTCTGCAGCATCGCTGGAGCGACATGCATCGCTAAAAATCTTCATTAGTCGACGTAAGCCTGAAATCGACTTGTTCTCAAAGCACTCGTTCTCAGCCTTTTGCAGGATGGCCATAGTCACAACTGTTCGACCAGTGCTCTGCTCTTGCTCGACGTCAGGCACCTGCTCTACCTCTTCTTCCTTTTCAATTTCGTCCTCGTCGTCGTCATAACTATTTTCTGCAGAAGTCGTCAAGTAGCGAGGATCCAGAGCGCTTTCGTCTTCTTCTTCGCTGCTAATTTCATCATCTACATTGTCGTCGTCTTTGTACTGCGTAGTGTTCTTAGCCTTATTCTTAGTTGACGCTTTCTCGTCGAAATTGACATCATCATGCGCCTCTTCGTCGTCAATCTCTTCATTGTCTGAATCCAAAAAATCGGCATTTAGAAAATCATCGATATCCATTTCGTCCATCATATCTGACTCGTCCTTCTTAGAGCCGCTACTATCATCCGTAACGTTGCGTGGTTTCTTCTTAATAGGTGCATCGCTATTGCGTTCAAAGCGATTGCGCTTTTTGTTTTTCATCGACTGAAACTTTTTCTTGGCATTGCGCTGCTTGATCTTCTGCTGCAATAAACCCTTGGCGACGAACTTTGCCTTCTTCTTCTGCGCGCCCATGGCTCTTGATATCTGTATTGCTTTTCGCAATTGGTTGGCAACGAGTAGCTGTGTAAGGCACACAAATACCCGATATTGGAATTACAAATTGATTGTGATATTTGAAGAACTATTTGACTGTTAGCTCGAAAAAAGTGAATTTTGATATGGCTCAAAAGGTAAGCTTTTTATTTACAGATAAAAAGTATGTGCACAGGACCTATAAATCAGAAGTAGATAACGCGCCCATGATGCTACGGGGGTAGGAACTAGGTTGACGTGTACGAAAGCATTACACTTATACGCAGTTCTGCGAAGCAGCCATAACACCGTTGTGCATTGCTCATAAAGAGGCGACAGCACTCCTTTAGGAAGAGGTCTATGACACGTGAATGTTCAGCTAATGTTATTATCGGATTTAGTAGTAAAATCGATATATTGAGTATTCTTTAACTAGACTCAGTTCCTAAATATGCGTCCTCTTGCAATTTGAAGCGCAGTTACTTGGAAGGCTTCAGCTTAGCTCCTGGGAAGAGCGAACGAACTCATCATTTGCGTGATAACTGAGACAGACAATTTGCAGCAGGGCTGCCGTAACTCTTTCGCTTAGAGGAAGGTCGGTGACCTTCGTCCTATACTTAGAATCAGTACGAATGTAGCGGATCGCAATTCACTTGCTCCAAGAGTAATTACAACCGTGACCCTAGGCTAATTAACTCTTCCGTTTGAAATGTAAGCTGTATTTCTCGGTTATATTTGCGGCAAAGCTGCAACGGGGTTACACGTACCCTTGGATGAAAAGGTGTGTCACACAAGATGGTGTGACCGTACATAGGTGTGGATTACTCAAGTCGGTGTAATCACACAATGGTGTGGCTAGACCGTAACATGAAGGCACTACGTGACGGGACTGCCAGTAGTTATGCATATTAATAATATTTTACTATTTAATTAGAAGAGCCGAATGTTTCAAATATAGGCGGCTCCGCCGCAAATAAAGCGATAGATACAGATTTAGCTCTAAACGGAAGAGTACATTTGCCTTGAGTTAAGGTCTGGATTACTCTTGGAGGTAGCGGATTACGATCCGCTACACTAATACTGGCTCAAATATAGACCGTAAGGTCGGTGACCTTAGTAAGCTTTCTCTTAGCAAAGAGCCACAGCAGCCCCGCTTTAGGATCAGTCGTAATAACTCAGGCGTAGATTGACAACTAGTGTTACCAAGTGCAGCGGCTGCTGTAGCTCTTTGCTTAGACCGTAATCAGCCGTAACGACTCTGGCTTAGATTGGCTACGAGTGTTACAAAGTGGAGCGGGGCTGCTGTGGCTCTTTGCCAAGAGGAAGCTTAATAAGGTCACCGACCTTACAGTAAATCCTAGAGCTAGTATTAATGTAGCGGATTGCAATTCGCTACCCAAAACCTTAACATAAGACAAAGATGCTCTCCCGTTCAAAGTTGTGGATTCTTGTTACGATGTAGTTTAACCATTGTGTGATCAAACCAACTTGTATATAATCCACCTATGTACGGTCACATCCCTCTCATACTAGGGTGCGTGCAACCCGTTACACTCTCTCCCATCTAAATTGTGAATATCCACAGTTCACATTTAACTGTCGCCTAATACGAGGCTCGCGCGTCTGAGACAACGTTACGTCCATAAGAATATCCTTGAACATTCTCAGCTCAATGAGCCCTGTGTCTATGACACAAAAACAACCAGCCTAGCTGGTGCCGAGGGCGCTCGCAGGCAAACCCTTCTTCAACTTTTGCACGGGCTGCATCTCCGGTCAGAACGTCCGCGGCTTCAAAATAAGCATATTCCAAGCCCTCGGCAACCGAGCGTCACACACCGCGCCCGCCTCGGGCGACGGGTTTCTTCGTCAAGATTCGAAGGAAGTCTACTCCGATTCGGATGCTCCTGTCCCAGCATGGGAATACGAGAAGGGCGAGGTGCTCCAACGGCGCGATGTGAGCCCAGCTCAAACCTTGCGAACACCGTGTCCGTTCTTCGACCTCTCGACCTCTGGAAAAAGTTGGTAATGCTACTAATCGCCTCGACGAGGCACAGGATCGGCAGTTTGAGGCTGTCCAGAGGGCGGCTCTCATGCGCTCGTATTCACGTTCGGTGTAGACCCTCGTGTGGAATACGGCTTCCGCTAGCGAATCCCGCTACTGAATCGAAATCCGCAATAACTCGATCGTTAGGCGTCTACGTAGTCGAGCCTCCGGACACTACACAAGCTGAGCTTGACCAGCGGAAAGCTCTCCAAGCTTGCTTCGTGGTAACCCAAAGAAACCCAATGGATAGGTACCGCGCTCTACTTTTGAGCTCAAAGAGGAGGTGCTCTTGTACCCGCAATGCGGGCTATTCCTGTGGCGCTCGCCCTGGCAAATCAAGCTCCCACGGGTCCTCAGAGTTTAAGTATCCTCGCCACTTCACAAGATATTGGGTTCGACAATGTCAACAAAAGCGTGCCACGTAGTAGTTACCCGCCAACATTCTCATCAAAAAAGTCGGCGACAGGCAACGTCGACTTGGTTAATCGCCGTTTGGTGACTCAAGATGCTCTTCGAGCTCTCGAGGACAAAGTCCGTTGTCATCAGGACTGTGCCGAGCAAAATTCCGATGTCGTCTACCGCTGTGCGAAAGACCACAAGAGCCTGGAGCTCTTTGTGCACTGACTGCCTCACGTTGAGGATTATAGCGCTCTGTCGGAGCGGCTCCTAGCCATCGAGCCGACGTATACTTCAGTTCGTGCGACCTTAGAGCGCCTTTCGTCGTTGGAAACGGAAATCGTTGCACACCGTGCTCATACCCAGTTGCTGGTTCAGCTTCTGGGTGGCCAGGCGCTTCTGGGCGCCGGATCCTGGGACGGCTTGAGCATGCCCACATAAATCACCGGGTGGGTGCGCATTTGTTTTGGAAAGTTCAGCATATACGCAAGGCCTCGCTTGGTCACGACCTTAAAAGAATAGTCTAACCTTAATCGGAACTTCGTCTTAAAGATAGCTGCATGTGTAGAAAAGTCCTAAGCACTGAATAAAACCTAGTCACCGACCTGAAATTGTTTGACTTTTCTTCTGCTTCGTCCGTATGCATATTATTTCTGCACCTCTAGGTTTTCACCCATCGCATCGTGAATGTGTCGTAGGACACTCAGTCTGGTAAACAGGAAGTCATCGACCTCTTTATGGACAGTGAGGAGGCTGATAGGGCTAGCCGCTCGACTAATCCTCTCCACCACCTCCCCACCAAGCACCGAGCCATGGAATGGCGGCGTCAGCGGACGCGAGGATGAAAGGGCCTGTTCACGTAGAACGGCGTGTAGCCCGTTCGACGCATACATTGCACTGTTCAAAGCAAACTTACAAGTGGCAGCATGGCGCTCCATCTCTTCGGCTTCACAGCGCAGACGCTGTGAAGAACGTCTTCAACGACGCAATTCACGCGCTCAGTTTGACTATCAGCCTGCGGATGGTCCGCTGTTGACATAGTCAACTTGGTGCCCAGTACTCTGAAAATTGTCAGCCAAAACATCCCAGAGAAGCGTGAGTCTCTGTCAGAGATAATTGACTCCGGAAGTCCATGATGTCAAGAGATGCGACCCACAAATAGCGTCGCTGTACCCACATCGTCGATGGTGTCTGACACCAGCAGCACAAGATGCGCTCACACGATCGATGAAGACCACGACAACCGTGTTTCCTTCAGCAGGCCAAACACAAAGTTATGAACTGCCAACACCCGGTACTGGCAATCTGGCCATCGGCGTAGCCGCATTCCCACCGAATGCGGCTGCGCCACACTCTTTGACACGTCTCTTACGAGCGCACATAGGTGATCGTCTATTTGTACAGCTTGTGCCACCATTATAACAACTCGCAGAGCTGTCAGAATTTTCAAGACCAAGATGACTATTGGGTGGGGTGTCGTGGGCTACATAGAGGATACGGCATTTCAAATCCTCATCTTGTGGAACCGCAATTCGTGGCGTATTGGTAGAGTGGTGCTATAACTCAATGAAAATCAGTGCAACCGTGCGCGCAGTCGCGACGACAACTCTTTGTCCGAGTTTCCAGACTCCTTGCTCCCGAGAGCCCGTAGCAGTGCTATGCATATATCATCACCCGCTTATGCGGCGCGGATCAAATTCGTCACTGACGACGTCACTGTCGTGACATGAACAAGCTCATAACCTGGTCTGCGTTACAACACATCAGCCAGATCATTCTGTTCTCCTGGCTAATACTTCACCTCGAAGTTATGTTATATTCGGCGAAGAAGAAAGGCTACCTGGTCATCCTGCAAGATGTGAGGCGACTGAGTCGCAGTGCGTAAGGACGCATGATCTGTGTAGATCACAAACGGCTTTGAGCCGAGCAGGTACACCCTGGACTTTATAAGTGCATGCTTCTTCGAAGGTAATTCCTTGTCGGGGTCTGGATAGTTCATCTCTGCAGCCTTGAGCTAGCGAGATTCAAACGCGATCACCCGATCTCGCTCTTCGGCGTCTACATAAGGAAGCGCACAGTCGATGGCAATATCCGAAGCGTCACAGAGGACACTTAAAGAACGATTGGGGTCTGACAATGCCAGTATCGGTGCATGAAGAATGCTGCTTTTGACCCCTCCCGATGCTCTTAACACCATTCCGCATTCTTCTTAAGAAGATTCAACAATGGCCGTGCAATTTTCGCATAATTCTCGCTGTACCTGTGCAGATGGGTGGCGAAGCCTAGCCACTTGCGCAAGTGTTTTGGTTCTTTAAAACCAGTCAGTCCACAATGGCCATGACCTTAGCGGGATTCGCTCGAAGGTCACGCTTCTCGATGAAACATACTTTAAGTGGGATCTCTTCGACGCCGATGATGCACTTATCTGCATTAGCTTGCAGCTTATTCGTGCGCATGCACTCGAGCACCGCTCTTAAAATAGACGGCATGGCTCTCTTCATCCGTACTCCCGTGATCACACGACTGTGGACGATGATGTCGTCGACGTTTGTGCATTCGCCCGGTGGGGCCTGGACAACTGCGTCAGTAGACAATTTAATATTGCTCGTGCATTTGACAGCCCTTGGGGCACCATTAGCCACTCCTCGAGCATGCCGCTCGGATATATCACCGCTGTCGGCGGAAAATCACTCCCATTCATGAGCGATTGGTACTACCCATCGACCAAGTCGAGTGCACTGAAATTTGCACACCCAACCATGTTGTTCTGGAGAACATCCTTCCTAGGATTTGGCGTCTGTTCCGGAATGGTGGCAGCGTTGGGCTTATTGTTATCGTGGATGTCCAATGGGGAGACTTGCTCTCACACACCATTCCTGCCTCGTGCTTCGCACGAAAAAAGGCGTCAAAGACGTCACACGGCTCCTTGGGCAGGAGTTATTGGCGTGTTACGCAGTATTTGGTTGCCTGAACCAGGTCGATTTTCATTACGCACACCTCAGTCCAAAGATTGAACCGACGGCGGGTGTTTGGAGACGACGTCTTATAATATCTTTACCAAAGGATAGTACGGATCCGAGGGACCCTCCAGGACAGACGATCCACTTCGTGCGCTTAGCACCCTCTTGTTTTCCTTCAGGACAGCTTCATCCAGAAGCGAAGATGATTTGATCTCTTTTTCCGGTCGTAAAATGACCACCTCGGCTTAGTATGAACAGAAGAGTTGCCTGCTTTCGAGCCACCGCCGAACTTTCTCGTCCAGCCCAAGACGAGCATCCACTGCGGGAATAGCCTCGAGGGTGGCGTTCCCGTCTTCCTCCTCCGTCATACCGCTGACGAGGTGTATAACTGTGCGCTATGTTCTATGGTAGAAACATTTTGGGTCAGGGTCGACGGTCGGCGTCTTGCAATCAGCATACGGCGTCGCCGTTGCATCTCCACAGACTTGGCGAGATCAGTGGGATCACGCGCCCAGTGTCGTTCAGTGAGCACCACTTTCTGCTCCACCGAAGTGATGTTATCAACAACGAAGAGCTGCTAGCTCCGCAGTCGTTCAGTGAAAAAAGGTGCCACTCCACGCGCCTTTGAAGGGCATTTCCCAAGATGCCTCGGACCTCGTCCGACCATGTCACTCGTGGCATGCTGCGACTGCTGTAAGACTTGATCAGTGCTCAGTGATTTACGTGCCACTCCACGTTTACAAGCCATGCTCGGGACTCCTGTCTAACCCCCCTTCGGTGTTTATCAACTGAGATACTTCGATCTTCAGCACTTTGGTCCAGCGCCCGCGCCAATAGCGTTTTTGTCGCCTAGTTGAGGTAGCTTCAAGACTCACCAATGCCATACCAAAGCTCATGGTGTCCCAGCGATGCTACACGAAGGATGATGTCATACCTTTAGTCTAAGTCTAAGACTAAGCAGCGTTCCACTCTATCAAAGTCAAGAAGCTTGACACCGAGATCTACTGGGACCTTCGGCACCGTGCCACATGTCCCCGGCGCTAAGCGACCAGTGAATATGTCTCTAAACCGCGCCTTTAGCGCCTCAGCATACGGCTGACTCTTTTTCATCGTGGAGCGTCGACTTCTACCTCCTTTACACTAAGCAGAACTCAGTTCTTCTCCAGTAGTGCGCTCATCGCCTACTGGGTGTTGTTGCTTTCCCGCGTCAAACCGGAGGAAGGAAAGAAAAGCGGGACGTTGGTTTGATGAACCTTGATGCGCCTTGCGTAGGGGACAATTAGTCCGAAAGTGACGGGTGTCTTCACATACAAAATACCGTCGGGTGTTTCAATGCTGCTCGGTAGCTCGGGGCTCTGCCTCATCGTCCCCAGCATAGCTGAAATCCATTGGCTCAGACTCGCTCAGCGAGCTGCTAGAGTGTGTATCCAACCAAGTCGAGCCGACTTAATGTTGAATTACGGATTTAATACCACTTTCACTGCCTCTATGCAAAGAAGACAGGTGCACACGGAAGACTTCCATTCCAGCCACGCCAGTGCGAAGGCCCCCCATAAAGACGGTCACTGTGACCGCCTCAAGAAGAGGGTCGGCTGCCATAGAGTACGCAAGTCTTGGACAAAGTCCACCAATTCCTTTTTGCCCAGTCGGCGTAAAGATAAGCGATCGCACGCGATAGACCTGGCTAGGTGGCAACAGCACTCGCAAAAGCTGCAGCTTCAGCTTTGTCCAGGAGGGAAACGCCGCTTTGACTTAAGTGTGCCAATTATCGCGCTCAACCCCCGAGCTTGAAAATAGCTAGCGCCACGCGATGTTGCTCGGTCTGGGACATGGCAGACGCCATGACCATCTCAGCCTCTCTCACCCAGAGCAGGAGATAATCTCCATCATTGCCTTCGAAGGCCTTGCCACTCACCATGAGCGGCTTGGAGTCAGTCTTCGACGGTGATATGGACGCTGTAGACGCCGACATCTTCTGCTGTAGGTGCTCCAGCAGAGCATTTTTATTGTTTAAAAACGCCTCTAGGCGCGCGCTGACCGCTTCAGGTCCTTGCAAAGCAAAATGTTGCACACCCTTACGACCAAGCAGAGATATTAGCGTCTTAAGTCCGTCTTGCATGCCCTGGGGCAATCAAGAGAATACTACATCCTCGCAGAGGGTCAGTCGTAACGACTTGGATAGAGATTGCCTACAAGTGCTACTAAGTGCAGCGGGGCTATCGTAGCTTTTTTGCTTAGAGGAAGCTGGGTTAACGTCGGTGACCTTTGTTCAAGATCACAACTAGTGTAGCGGATCGCAACCCGCTTACTCCAAAAGTAATTTCAACCTTTATCCAAGGCTAGATAATTCTTCCGTTTGAACGTAAACTGTATATCTCGGTTTATTCGCGGCAAAGCCGCTTATATCTAAATTTCAGGTTTTCATCTATTTAGTAAAGTCAGATTAAATGTATAACTACTGGCAGTCCAGCCACATACTGACTTCTTGTAAAAGTGTAGCCGCATCACACTATCTTGTGAGACCCACACCTTCTATACAAGGGCACGTAAGACCCCGTGACAGAGGCCGTGGTGACAACAGCCAATATCTTTAGCCGAAATCTCGAATAAAAATATGTAGAGAAGATGGCAAAAACTAAAGTGAATACATTACATAAGGTCCTTTGTTTGCTTCTTTGTGCTACTTTTATGCCTATAGACTGTAAATTTACCGAATCAGAAATGAACAGCGTCTGTTATCAATATGTATAGTCATGACAGTAACTGTGACCATGACAGTAATCGTTGTAAGTCATCCACTCAACACTACCACTCACCGCCAATCTTGAGTGTGGTCTGTCAACGACTTGGCCTTGAAACCCATTGCCTCGCGCAAAAATCTGGACATCTTGGTTCCGAATGTCTGCAAGTCGATTCTTAGATTGATTTCTAGTGATTTATCCTGAAGTGCCTGAATTCCACGTTATGTACGAGCTGCACAGAGACAAATTGATCTGTAATGATCAAATTGATCTGTAATGATCAAAATTGGCTTAGAGCCAAGTATGTGCACCCTGAGCTTGTTGAGGACATACTGCATTTCAAGTACATTTCAAAATATTCCTTTTCAGCGGCTATCTGCTGACGAAGCTCAGAACGCGATCACGAGTTCAAGCCCATCGGCATCTATAATGGGCATTAAATTACACAAGACCTGGTAGCGACCTTACCCAGTATAAAAGAAATCCCCACTCAGACTTACAATAGTAATTGAATTCTCAATAAATTAAAAACTGTAATTTTGGTCAATCTAACCCTGAATCCATGCATGATTTAGTGCTTCGTCAGCAGTCATTCGCTTATATGGATCAAGTACAAGCACACGTCGAAGAAAGTCGATAGCAACGGGGCTTACTCCATGCCAGTATTTTCTGGGAAACGTGAGTTTGTAAAGAGACTGGATCCTTTGATCTCGACGTAGCTTGGTAATAGCTGGAAAAGGTAGTCGACCACAGAGCAACAAGTATGTCAGCACTCCAAATGACCACATGTCAACTGAAGTGCCGTATGCTTGTCTTAGCAGAATCTCAGGAGCCAAATAGCCTCCCGTACCCAAAAACGATATAGATCTTGCACCGTCTTTTAAAATCTTGGCAAAACCAAAGTCAATGACTTTTACATTCAGCATATAAGCCACACCGTGGTGCTTTTCATTTTGTGTAAGCAACATGTTTTCCGGCTTGAGATCACGGTGCATGATACCACGATCGTGCATGTGGTGAATAGCAGATAGGATACTGCGGGCCACATGAACAGCTTCTTTTTCGGAAAAGCGCCCTTTTTCTATAATGGCGTCAAACAGCTCACCGCCTTCCATAAGTTCCATGATAAGAATCAAGTAGTTGTCATCTTCGAAAAACTCTTCGAGTTTAGTAATGTGCGGATGGTCAACACGCCGCAGCACGTCCACCTCACGACGTAGTTGAGCAGCAACTTCCATTCTTTTTCGAGAAGATGGAGCCAGAGTCCTCTTTTCGATAATTTTGCAGGCGAAACGGCGTCCGTCACTTTTGCGCACAGATTTGAAACATATACAGGTCGTTCCTTTACCAGCAACGCATTCAAGCACGTAATTATCCGGTAAAAGCGCACGAAATTTTGCTGTCGAGGTGCGGCTCATCGGATAGTAGCCGCGCATGGAGTCAATTTCTTGCGGAGGCGACATAGCCACAAAAGAGCTTTCGGACATAGTGGTAGCATCAGATGAGATAGAGCTGGCGAGACTTTTTCTCAGCTTAGAAATGTCCTGGTCGAGCTGCTGCAGACGCACGGCAGTCTGTGGTAAATTTACTGCGCGACGGGTCAAGTGCTTCTTCACAGGCACCTCAACATCAGTAGCAAAAAGGCGATTTCCAAGACGTTTGTGCGCATCAGGTGGCGTGAGAGAGGGAGGCATGGTGTTAGCCAACGAGCGCGTATAGTGGTGATAGTGGCGGTGGGGGTCCTCTACGGGCCCACCAGCAAAGCAGCTCTTTATCATAGCGGCCCCCATTGGTGATTGGTTTTAGGCACAGATGGCCGTCGTAAATTTCGGCCAAGTGCAAACCTTCTTGTGTGATGTTAAAGTGGTCCTTACTAAGCTTTTCGGCTGATAATTTCTTTGTCGACGGCGTTGTTCGGTCGAGACGTGCGTGTTGTTAGGAAAGATTCAGCGGGTGTGCATTGGCGGAAAATTCAGCAGCGACTTTTCGGATTGGCTAACTCTTGCACCAAGCAGATGATACAACAAGGATTTGATTGCTGTTACCTAGACATTACAATCAATCTATGGAGGCTGGACGTCCACGAATTATGGGGTAGAAAAGTCGCCGTCAATACGAAGCAAGTAAGTCTCAGCAATATAACTGCGTAGGTTTTAGCATCTATGACGCACAACATATGTATCGAACGCACGAAAGAAGAACATTTCTCGAACAAAGATTGTTTAACAAACTGAGCATCTATTGTGGATAGCAGATTCCTTGTAATTTAGCTCCAAGGCCTGGCATGTTCTAATATTTTGAAGGTGGTTGATATGTTACCATTACCCTAAGTTCAGGTGCTTGCTTACCTTTACCTATCAGCTCGCAAATGATTGTATTCTTAGTAAATATATTGTTAGTTTGTCGACTGAAGTTGCCTCATCTGTTTAATTTTGTGACACATTCCCCTACACAAAATTGCTCAAGTATCCATCATCATTTTCTATTATAATTCGACATTTTGATTGACTACAATATATAATCTCGTGTCTTCATATCCCCTTGCCACCCAAGTCAAGATCGAAATATCATCTAAGTCAAAATTTTTAATTTCTTTATGAGTCTGTCCTGGGCTTTTTTCGACTTTTGCATCGCTCCATACAGCATCAAGCCAATCTAGACAATAAAAATAAATCTTTTTTTTAAGTCTGTAAGGCACTAAATGCAGCAGGGCTGCCGTAGCTCTTTGCTTAGAGAAAGTTAAGCTAAAGTCACCGACCATATGTTCTTTCCAAGAACCAGTACGAGTGTAGCGGATCGCAATTCTCTATTTCTAAGTACTGGAGCCCCTAACCAAGGCAAACAAACACTTCTGCTCAAAACTGAGACTGTATAGTTTTAGTTGCGGCAGATCCGCCAATATCTAAGACCCTTGGTTATCCTAATTAATATAGTAATATGCATTGCTATTGGCAATCCTGCCACTGATGGCTTCTTATTCCGGTGTAGCCACACCACTGTTTAGTTACAATAACTTGTGTAAAACACACCTATGAATGATCGCACAATCTTATGCGACCCGCCCATTCAATCAAGGGTAGGTGTAACCCCGTTACATATCCCGGACAGAAAACTAAATAAGCAAGCTGTTTGTCACGATGAATCCAGGAGATTGGCGGCCAAAAGGCCGGAAGCGGAAATCCCTGGCCTTGGAGGGATCACCAGCCTCAAATGCATGGGTGATGCACATTCGAAGTGTCCCAATCAAAAGCTAGTTGAAAACATATATATTCCACCATGAGGCCGCTGACCTTGAGCGTCCATTCTTGTGAGAGCTAGGACGAAGAAATGGATGTGAAAGCATGTGATGGTCATCAATAGGCTTTTTCCAAACATAGCCACAGTGCGTCGTTCTTTTGATCTCCAATCTAGTATGCCGCGCCCAAGAAATTATACTTATGTTGGAACGGGGACACACAAGATGGTGTGGCTACACTTAAACAACAAGTCGTTTCGTAGCTGAAACAGCCAGTAGTTATACATTTGATTAAATTTTACTATAAAGATAGGAAAACCTGAAATTTTGATTTAGGCGACTTTGTCGCTCATAAACCGAGAAGTATAGTTTACATTTTAAACGGAAGAGCTAATTTACCTTGGATTGAGGTTGTACTTCCTTTTGGAGTACGTGGATTGCGATTCGCTACACTCGTACTGGTTCTAAGTATAGAACGAAGGTCACCGACCTTAATCAAGCTTCCTCTAAGCAAAAAAGCTACGACAGCTCCTCTGCTTTCAATAGCACTTGTAGTCAATCAACACCTGAGTCGTTACGACTGACCCTCTTTGAGAATAAAGCACTTCTCCTATTCTCCCCAAGGAATGCAGGTCGCACTTAATAAGCTGATGTCTCTGCTTGGCCTTGAGGATGTGCGAGATTTAGCTTCACAAGGACCTGACGCAACCAGCGCACGCCTAGAAGTGTTTACAAGCTAAGAAAAACCTCTGCTAGAGCACCTGCAGCAGAAGAACTGCATCCATGAAGCCACCGTCGGAGAACCAAGCCGTTCTTCTTTTCTCTCATGATGAGCGTTATGACCTTCGAAGGCAAAGATGGAGAGAATATCCTGCTCTGGGTGAGAGAGGCCGAGATTACCATGACGTCCACCCTGCTCCAAAACGAGCAACAGCGCATGGTGCTAGCTATCTCCAAGCTCGGAAGCCGAGCGCAGGAATGGGCACTAATGTGCAATACTTTAGTTGAAGATGCTTCCCCCTACTGGAAGGAGCCGAAGCGTCACCTTTTGCCAGTGTTCTCGTCACCTAGCCAGGTATATCGCGTGCAATCGCGTTTCCTCGCCGCACGATAGAACAAGTAGGATTTGATGGAATCTGTACAAGAGTTGCGTACTCTCGTTGCCGGTGTGGCAGCTGATCCTCTTCCCGATGCGGTCACAGTGACCGTCTTTATGGAGGGCCTACGCACTGGTGTGGCCAGAATGGAAGTCTTCCGTGTGCATCCGTATTCTTTTTAAAAAGCGGTGAATATGGCATTATATGCCATATTCATTCTCAAGTCGGCACGACTTGGTTGGAATACTTACCCACAGAGCTCGTCGAGCGGGACTGAGCCAGTGAATCTCAGCAATGCTGAGAAATAGTGTGGAGAGCTCCGAGCTGCCGAGCAGCGTCTAAACAGCCGACGGTGTTCTGACTGTGGAGACAGTCGTCACCTTCAGGTTGTATTTCCCCTGCGCAAGGCGCGTTAACGTTCATCGAGCCGACGTACCGCTTTCACCAGTTTTGTGGCTTGTCGCAGATGAACGAGGCCACCCAGTAGGCGCGGGGTGCTCTACTGGGTGAGAAGTGAGTTTT